AATTGTTTGGGCTTAAGCAAGGGTCTGATAACAATGGGACTTAAGGAACAATCCCGCAGATGTTTAACACATATTTTGCACGACTAGTTGAGCCGTTGATTGCAACGCCCAATGAAATTAAAATTCTCAATGCGATTTGTTCTATTCGAATTGTACTCGTAATCCGCGCAAGGGTTGGTGGTCCTGCCTTCTCAGCCAGCGGATCTCTAATGAAGCCATTAAGGGTTGCGCAGCTCCTCCATCTCGGCATGTGTGTGGTTAACTTTCGGCAAACACAGAGTCCATAACTGTTGTCGTTCCAGCCGGCAAATGAATAAATTATCAACTGTGTATGTGAGGCAGGAAAAGTCCTTCGGCCCACCTCCTCACTAGTTGACTTCCAGTTTGAGTGTGCTCTAATTGCAGCTCCTTGTCGTCGGGCCATTAGAACCCGGCACTAATGGCTCTCATTCGGGGGGTGGTGGGTGGACAGGTGGCTGGGTGTTTGGGTGGTTGGGTGGTTGGGTGGTGCTCCGGTAACTTAAAGTCGCCAGAAGCCGCAGCAACATTAGCGCATAAAAAGGGCATTTGTAAGACATGAAAGGTACTCAGTCAAGTGAGTTGTGGGTGGCAGGTGGCATTTATCTCCGCCCACCAACTCCAGTGACACAATAGCGTAAGCAAATCGAAACCGCGAATAAACAATACCCTGTATATCAAGAGAGGTTGGCAAACAACCGAAGCTAGTCTGAAATATATGACATTTCTGCTAGATGCATTTTACAGCTCTCTTAGTTCATATGTGTATGTTAATGTTAATGTTGAGTATACTTCTTAATTTACAGAATATACGAGTATAATATTGCCTGTTGCTCGGATCTCCAAGTACATCATACCCATCATACCCCATGGCAACGGGGTGCAAAAAAGGAAGACAAATCAATGCAGGTGTCACAAATGTCAGCCGACAGCTTTTGGATCCCTTCCCTGTTCCTTTGAGAGGATATTAATGTCGCCAAGTGAATTGATGATGCCGATTGTTGTTGTCCCAGGGCATAAGCCGATTTGCCATCTTATCACAGGCCACGTCGCCCGGCGACTCCGCCAGTAAATCCAGCTCCAGCTCCATCTCCGCCGCCCCAATTCCTGTTTTGATGCTGATGCCGATTCTGGTTCTGATCTGACTCTGACTCTGATTCCGATTCCGATTCCGGCTTCCATCTCCGAGGCGAGCTTTCATAAAGGACCTCCCTCCGCCGATTGACAGGCATAATAAATCATGTGTTATAGTATTAATCAAGCTGCTTCTGGCTGCTTCGACTGGTTGCTCCTTTGACTGCAGAGCCTGCCTTTGTTGTCCGGGATAATCGCTTGACATTTATTGCAGCCAGCGCCAGGATGTGCTGGGTTCGACTTTAAATCCTTGCCTCAAGTCGTCCTCCCGAAGTGTCCTTTAATTGCGCCTATTTCGGCCTCCAGTCGTGCATTTTGCCAGGCATTGTTCCCTAATTGCTATTTGTCGCCAGTGCCCCATGCAAGTGGGCAGCCTTTCGCCCAACTTTTCTGTCTGGCCGTCACATTAAGAACTTGTAAAGTTAAATTAAGTGTTTCGTCTAGTAAGCAGGAAAAAGCAAATGGCAGCAAAAGCGCCAAGAAGCTGCAGAACTTTCGAAAAGGATAATTGCGGAGGCGGAAAGGTAGTTTTGCCTGCTTTGAAGAGGGAAATCCGTTTAATTGTAAAAGGGCGCATTTGCTAGAATTATTCACAGAATGCCTCAAAAGCGTAAGCGTATTGAATTGGTTTTGCCTAAATTGAAATGAAGATATGCCAAAAGTATAGCTAGTATCCCAAACTGTTCTGCAGAATGCGGAAGAAATGGGAGTTTGAAATATGCTCTGCATTTTCCACTTCAGGCGCAAATCAAATTCAATATCGCACTGCGCATAGTTCATCTGCAAGTTCAAAGTAATTTGGACAAGAACTGAGAGAAACAATTTCAGAGCTCCAGACTGAAAGTATTCCCGCAAAGTGTTCAAGCCACCCACGCGATTTTCGTGGCCTCGTTTCACCTACACCGCATTGCTGGCCATATTATTTAATTCGCAGACAGTTAATTGTAATGCAATTAAGGGATTAGCTGGGAATGCCATTAGGCTTTATTGTTCATACGAACAGGGCAGGATGAAGTGGTATCTGCGATGAATGAATGCGGAGGCGGAGAAGGCTGCTCATTTCTCTAAAAGATTCATTTCCATGCCAGGCACTTCAGTAACTCAAATCTAAGCGGGCGTAGAATGCGTTACTCAATTATTTAAATTGCAGGCAGCAAATCAAAAGTGTTTGCCTGATTTTCCCAAGAGTCAGCCCATTCCGCTAAGCAATTTAATGTAATTGCTCCAGCACTCAACAGTAAAATCCAAAATGTACAAAAAATGGCTGCAGGGGACTGCGGACTGGCCAACTTGTGGGTCGTCCATACGGTCCATTTAAATAAACCAAATGTTTATTTTGCCGAACTACTTCGATTTCGTTCGCTCCATCTTCAGCACTCCTTTTTGTTTTTTATTCCTGCTCCAAATAAATGTCTCTGCGTTTTAGTTTGCTTTCCATTTGATTTGATTTTTAGCCTAGGTCTATCGCCGAGTGTCCTTTCGGGAGTCCTGGGAGCTTCCATGCGGGCTGATATCAGCAAAAATCGCAAATCAAATAAACCAAATTGAATAAGAGACAAGTGCCACGCCTCCGCTGGCGACTCAGCTCAGTACCCGGGTGGGCGTGGGTGGGCGTAGGTGGGGGCGTGGCAACGGGTCCCGGGCACAAAAATTAGTTGGTAGTTCCATTCGGGCAACGTTGTTGTAAATGCGAGGACAGAAATCAAAATGTTCGCATAAAAGAATTATCTGTGCTTAAGTTAGATTATCCCTGGGCCATAGAATCCAATTGGCAATTGAATGGAAAGATGTCGCAGATTCGATTTGCCAACTTTATTTTCCCTCCCATCGCTTTGTCCCTCCCTGATTTGAAGTTCGAGTGCCACTTGAAAGTTGCCCAGCCTCTGGTATCTCTGTCCTCGAATGCATTTCCTTTTTATCGAATTCCATTTGATTTTCTTTGGGCATGAAACAACAATGCTCGACCCAATGGAGGTTAGACAAATGTTATGGGTGCCATCAAGCTGAAGGTGGAGCGCCCATTTAAGTTCCTGGGGTGGAGTCAATCTGCGAGGATGGTCCTTACATCTCGGCTTCCGATAAAGCCTAAACAGCTTAGAGGATATAAATCAAGTGACATTTATCCTGCGCCGCTATTCTTTACAAGAGGAAATTAGCAAAGTATTTTCGACAAGAAAACATTTGAACATGGTTCCATTATTCAAAGGCTTCAAAGCCATTTATTTATGCTCCTTAAAAACTATATTCTGGTCAGCACATACGTCCAGCACCGACCTTGTCGCCCTTATTGGACTCCAGTTCCTGAAGGACCGATGAGAGCAGACTCATTTCGCGCATGATGAAGCTCAGGATCTTGTCAATCTCATAGCTGTGGTAGCTGGGCACAATGTCTGCGGAGATGGATACGGATATCAACGAAGGTCCAGGGATTTCAAGGACGTACCTCGACGTTTGCAGAGCATGCGGTAGAGGATCTGTATGCCGTCGAACATGCGCTCCTTGTCCAGGTTGTAGAGCGAGGTGGTGTCCTTGCAGACACTCAGTATCTTCTCCCACTTGAGGCAAGTGGCCCGGGAATTGACATAGCTGCGATCCAGGCGGGCCAGGTCGTTTTTGAGTCCTAGAACGGTCAGAGCCGCGTCGCTGGTGATCTGAACCATTCGCTGGCGCATCTCCTCGATCTCATTTAGTTTCTGGCTCTCCAGCTTGTTGATCTCCACCTGGGCCAGCACTGCACAAGAAACAGCATTACAATGGATAAGAGTATGGGGTTGGGGAAGGGAACCCACTTAGCGCGTCACATCGGTCGATGCAGTCCTTCGTTGAGATGAAGATGTCCGACACGTTGACCACCTCCTCCAGGACCCTTTCGTATGGCTGGAACTGGGCCACCGTGGCCTTGAGCGCATGGCGAAAGGTGCTCAGCTCGGCAATGGAGGTCTTGAACTCATCTATCTCCTTGGTGACCTCCGCGTGGAGAACCGTCTCCTCGCGAATCGACTTGTCGGCGCTGCGCTTCTTGTCCGCACAGTCCTTGATGAACCCGTTGACCTCCACGAAGCGTTTGCGCAGGCGCTCCTGGATTTTGTACATCTTGCGAATGCGCTGCACATTCATGGCGGTCTGCCGTTTGGCATCTTTGAGAAGCTGGGTCTGAACCTGCTTCATGGCGTCGTATTCCCGGAGATTGGCTATGTACAGCATCTCGATGGTGTCCCCGGCCGAGTCCCAGTTGGGTGGTTTCCTGCAGCATCCCTAGTTAATTCCCGCCTCTCACATAATTGCACTTTCAACTTACACGAAGAACTGATCCTGCTGACGAGAGACGCGATAATCATCGATGGCCGCCTCTGGACTCAGGTCCAGATCGCCGATCACATCGGTCTTTATGGTGGGCTTACGGCGCGGCATCTTGGCCCTTCAAAATATAATCTTCCTCTAGAATGTATTGTTTTATACTTGGGGAATATCTATAGACGAACGATGTGGTGTGGTGAGTTGTGCCTGTCTAGGGGCAGACAGCACAGTCAAGGATGTAGAGTCCTAAATTATTTTTCGGTTCGGCAAAAGGTATTTTCAAAATAACATATTTTACCCTTGGTTACGATGTTTTTAGTCGGGAGTTTGCCAGGCAATTATAAATATTATAAATACTCAATAAGAATTTGATTGTAAATTAATATTATTTTTGGAACAGCAAGGGCATAAAAGATTCGGCTTGCCGAATGTTTTTTGGAAAAGAACAAATAGCTGCAGTTACCATGGCACAAACTGGGTACGCCGTTTTAAGCATTGCCAAGGTGACGAAGGAACCTCCTGGCAACCAAGTGTTTTATTGTGTCACCCAAATAGGAATCATGTTCCAAGTAGGTCTTGTTAATTTATATTACAAAACAATAACACATTCCGAAAAGCAAACACACAGCACACAGTACAACACAACGCACAAGCCGCAGTATCGCGGTAACCAAAGCAAAAAAATATACAAAACTGACAAAAACCCACACTTGAGCTTTTACTTTCGGCAAAGGGATCCAGGATGCCCCGCGTGAAGCCCACCAAGAAGCTCGATGTCCTGGGCAATCTGGACCTGCGGCCCGAGGATGCCGTGGGTGACTATATCAGCTCCAAGCAGCAGAACAAATTCTTCGTGTAAGTAGTGAATCCAACTCTTGGTCCTGTAAAACTCTTAAATCCTGTAGAATCCCTCCCAACTCGGACTCCGCCGGCGACTCCATCGAGCTGATATTCGTGAACAATCTTCGCGAGCACGAGGCCATGCTCAAGCTGCAGGAGGAGATGCTGACCAGCGCCAAGCGGCAGACCAAGCTGAACTCCGCCAGGGTCAGGAACATGTACAAGATCCAGGAGCGCCTGAGGAGGCGCTTCATCGAGGTGAACAGCTTCATCAAGGACTGCGCGGACAAGAAGAGAGTGGCCGAGAAGACCGCCCAGGCGGAGACGCTCTACCACAAGGAGCTCGGCGAGGGCATTGAGAGCTTCAAGGACTCGATCGGCGAACTCAAGGCCTTTCGGGCGGCTCTCAAGGCCACCGTGCAGGAGTTCCAGCCCTACGAGAAGGTGCTCAACGAGGTGGTCAAGGTGTCCGACATATTCGTGTCGCCCAAGGACTGCACTGATCGCTGTGATGCGCTGAGTGAGCATTAGCGATTTACAAGGTAATACCAAGCTAATACCTTTGATCAACAGTGCTGGCTCAGGTGGAGATCAACAAGCTGGAGCACCAGAAGCTGCAGGACATCGAGGGCATGCGGCAGCGCATGGTGCAGATCACCAATGAAGCGGCTCTAACGGTGCTGGGTCTGAAGAACGACCTGGCCAAGCTGGAACGGTCCTACAACGAGTCCAGGGTGCAGTGCCTCAGGTGGGAAAAGATCCTGGCCAAAACCAAGGACGCCATCAACAATTGCTACATGGACAAGGAGCGCACAATAGATGCGATTACCAACCTGCACAGAATCCTCCTACGGCGAAGAGGTAGGTTGAAAGTACCTGAAAGTTGAGAGGTACTAATGAATTGTTTCTTAGATATACATTCCTTCCCTGCTCGCGGCGACTTGGACAAGGTGTTGGACTCCATCAAGAGCGAGGTAGAAATATTGACCGGCGTTATAAAGGAAATCGAATCGTCTGACTCCGCGGTGAAGCAAGAGGAAGCCAGAGATAAAACTCTGTGCTAATTGGATGCGAAAATTGCGAGTAGTTTAGGCACACCTTAAACTATTAAACTACGAAAGCTACTTAAAAAGTGTTTGTTTTAGAGAAACGTTTCCCTGGACTTCCTTAAAAAACGAGTGCTCTGTGTGATGGCTCGTTGCTCGTGGCGATTGTTAATTGTTCCGAGCTCCGCACTGGTTGTTAATGCCACTTTCTAATTGCTTTTACCTCATAAATCTTCTGCGCGGCTTGCTCAATGCCTTCGTCCAAGCATCCGAGTGGTCCGAGTGGTCCAAGGGGTCCAAATTGGCGTCCTGCTCTGCAGTCATCATAAGTCACCGAATTGTCGGGCACTCAAGACAAATGTGACACTGGCTTATTTAATTAGAGATCTGCAGGCGGGATGGAAGGCCAGTGCTTAAGCTCCGGAGCCTGTGCATCAACTGGACATTTAGCGCTAACTGCGCCAACTTCGCTTGACGGCTTTTTAATTACGTCAGCCCGGAAAATGCTCCTCTGCTGTTCCACTGCTCTGCATGACAATTAGCCGGTCTAAAAAGTCGCTCTCTGGTCGATTGAAAATTTTCTTGCTATTTTTCAGCTGTGAAAAACTTTTTTAATTACCACCGTGACGGTGACGGTGACGGTGACAAAAAACAATGGCCGACCATTCGGCCGGCGGCTCTGATTTTCAATTATTTATTGACAGGAGTCTCGATTCGTCGTTTACCCTGTCGAAGTCTTGACACGACCCGGCTTTTTCAGCAAATGCACAAGTAGCGTTTTGGCTTAACACTTTTGCGGCACTGCAACTTTAATGCCGGTAAACTGACAGATTTTGCTTCAATAATTGATGAGAAAATGCATAAAAGCCTTTTGATCAAACAGTTTTTAGACGTCGTCGTGTTTGTGCAATGTTAATTATGCATTAGCTGAAAAACAGTCACTTTGACCGGCTAATAACTGCCTTAAATGTTTTAATTTGTGGTCTGCCCAAAGTGTTTGTGTTGGGAGTGGCAAAAATTAATCAGCACCAGAAATAAATTCGAAATTTTCCCTACACATGTGCGATCTCGAAGCTGTTTTGGATGCCCCAACCCACTCGGTCCCTGACATCTTTATGCCATGTCGGCTTCCAGTCGTGTTTTGGTTTCCCGCTGCTCAAAGACATTTCCGCTCCGGCTGGCCGGGATGGGAATCCCGAAAAAAGGTGTAAGAAATCGGGCGAGGTGATGTATGGCAACATTTTAATTAATGCTGACAGCTGGAAATGTCGCGGCCAGCTTTTGTTGTGTAAATTTCATCGACTCGAGGCGTTGGACTCTATAATTATGATTGGATATCGTTGCACGTTCCTCGCTCCCATTTCTTTCTATTTTCGATTTGCCCCACCCGCTGCCCCATCGAGCAGCACGTCACTAAATTAATCCGCTTAGTCGTCGCATATTCCCCTCGAGGTTTGCCGGACCAGACAACCAGCTGACCCCATCCAAGCCAAAGAATCGGATCCGGGGGAGGAGGAACCGGCCAGACGCTTGACCAGACGGTTAAGCCTTAATCCTCGATAGTTGTTGGCCCTTAAACTCTTCTAGGGTTTCCATTCGGACGTTTTTTCTTGCAGGTGTCAAGGTGAATGAATGGCTCATTGGGGAGCTGGGGAGTTGGGGCTCCACTTGGTTGGGAGCTAATTAGTGGGTCCCATTGTTCGGCAAATGTCTGTCATAAAGATAGCATAAATGGCGGATTAATTGTACAACTTGATTTCAAACAAATCAATGCGATAGATGCCTCATAAATAGTATATGCACGAATTAATTTCGGCCATATTTAATGCAGTGGATACAATTACCAATAGCGATTTTAAATTCAATATTTCCAAAAGCCCATTTCATATCTCATCAGAACATCAACGACATGCCCAGCTCGATAATAGACTTATAATAAATAATCCAGAAACCATCAATCGATGGCCTCCATCGGTTGACCCTGTCCAAGTCGCCTTAACCTTTGCTGTGCCCGTCGGCCAGAAGCAGTGAGCTGCTCCTGACCAACGATTTCCATTGTAATAACAATATATAACACACAAATTTGAATAACAAATTAACTGCTACACACACTGCCCAGCAATGGGGTGACATTCGGGCAGTCTTGGGCCCTGGAAATGGCCATTCGAGCTGGCCTCCTGTGCGGTACAGTGCAGGACATACAACATGCAATATAATTGAATGCCTGCAGGATGTATAGACACATGTGTGTATATGCGCCGCACACAATATACCAGTCAGCTACCATAGCCACAAAATATTTGCTCATGTGGCCCAAAGCAGCCCAGGCCAGGCCAGACCAGACCGGACCAAATCCAAGCCGGAGCTGAGTTTGAGCCAGCCCAAACAGCTCTCGACCACCAGCCAAATGTGACTTTGCAGCGTCAACGTCAATGTTGCATAAATCAACACACCGACGATGGCGCTGCCAATTTTGTGGCTCCATATCCGCCCCCGAACTGCTGAGCCCAACCACCCAACCACCCAACCACCCAACCCCTGAGCCCCCAACCGCCACTCCACCGCCGTCTACTTGATTGAATATTTCAAGCTATGCATCTTTAATAATGCGCCACGACGGCGATGGCGAGGCGATGTCGATGTCGATGGCGATGTCGATGTTGGTGACGTCGCCTCGGGCCAGTTTGTGGCACCGGCCATGCAAATGCAAATGGGCAAATGTAAAATGCAAGCTGAAAACTGCAAAATGCACAGTGGCCGTCGAGGATGTAATTTTGTTGGGCGTTTTTTCCTTCTTCCTACACTAAACTGACCGCTGTCTAAGTCAGCCCGTCAGTCCCGTCTTCCGACGGTTTTGCAGCTGGAAACGCCCCCTAATCAAAACCGACTTGAGTTTTATTTTCTACGTGCCGCCTGTCACCCTTTCTTTTGCCGGGAAGTCGTCTCCGATCCGGTCCCTAAATTTGTACTTCAGAAATTGTGGTATATTGTAAGTTCCCCAATGTATCCATATATAAATGGATGGTATTATTCAAGGATCCAAATATATTATAGAAGCTAGAAAGGGTATACTTCGTCACTATCTTGTTGCCTCCCAAATAACTTTAAAATTTGAATTCAGCCAGGTTCTCGCTTAAGGTTTCCTTTTCGGTTTCGGTCTGGCGACATCTAATTGAATCCGACCGCATCAAGATGAAGTTCGTCTTTGCCGACAGTTTTGTTTGGGGTTTCCCTTCCTTTCCGTCCTCTCCTTTTGGGTCCATCTACTTTGTGTGTGTTTAGTTGACCGCACTCAAAAATAGCTTTGAAAAACTTTGGCTGGCAAAGTCTCGCCTGCGGAACAGTCGAGCTCCTCTCGGTTTCTCTGAGGAAGATGATGCGAAACCGGGCGGATTTTCGGTTGCTGGCATCTTTGTCAAAGTCAAAAGTTTGTCATAGTTCAAGTTAATGTTCTGTGACTTTCGCCATTTTTATTTTGGTCAGGCAAATGAACCATGTTTCGGATGATGTATTGATGTATTCCCAACTGCGGCATAAAGATAAACTTTTAATAAGTTCGTCAATTGCTGGCATAGATTGCACTACTGGCAGCGCGCCGAAGAACTTTCGTGGCTAATAGTAAACTCTGAGCCCAGAGGGAAAGGTCTGAAGAGCAGTCCCAATCTCCCAATCTCGGCTCCGACTTGGCAGTTAATTAATATCTGCATAAAAATCAGCTACTGCGGCGGCTAATGCTATTATTTCAGCTATCGCTGCGTATACGCCATGTTGCAGCTGGCTGAAACGGCACCCAATCGGCTTAGTTCGGCTCAGTCCAGACTACGGCAGTGCTCTATCTCTAAGATCCAACAATGGTTGAATTTAATTACGCCTCTGCTGTATATTGTTCGCCATGGCCTAGGTGAGCTGCCCATCTAGGTAGCAACATGAGACGCATTACACATACGCAGCGTTGTCCGGCCATTGTGGCCTTTTCCCACTGGGGCCAGCCACAGGAAATTAATTTGGTGTCTGTGCATTTTATTCCCTGGAAAATGCACTGGGGATCCGCAGACAACAAGTCCTAATCCCGCCTGGAGCGGGGCGGGTCAACAACAAAGCTCCTCAAGTTGGGTTTAACAATGTTAACTTAACATGCGAGCTTAAATACCAGAAACTTTTGATACACTTAAAGCCACAGCAGATGTTACCGTAGTGGCCGAGAACTTTGAAAACATTTTGACTTGGACTAATTACCAGACCTTATTTAAGACCCCGCTGGAATTTATTCAGTGCCTGCAAATTGCCCAAATGTTCAGCTTGATCCAGAGATCAAGCCCCTCGAACAGATTGGCCGTTAAGCGGCAATTAGTCACACGACAGATTCCACAGGCACTCTTGATTAGGGCGGGGCGTGGCAATCAAAATTACACCCTGTCAATATTATCGACACGCATTATAAGCCCTCTCCACAGCCCACCGCCCTCAGCCCACCGCCCACTCACACGCCCGAGTCCATCGATTTGAGGAGCCTCCGCTGGAGATGATATCCTGCTGACACTTTGGACAGCCCGCAAACCCCACGACATTGATGTGGGCTCCACGACCAGCCAAAGGGCAACGATAGGGGGTCCTGACAAAGGTGTGTGTCCACCAGCGGAAGCTGTGCATAATTGGAAAATAGTTTGGACCGTGAACGGCCGGGGGCCATTAAATGGCTTTGCCGTTTGAGCTGGCTGTGGCTTTTCCCGAATAATTGGCCAAGAGCTGGGATCTGTTGCAGTGCCTAAAGTCGGCAAATCACTCCGCAAATCAATATTAAGACAACATTAATTAAAACCACGCTAGGCGGCGAGTCCTGATGGGCTAACTTATACCCCGCACTGTCTTGTTATATACAAATTTGTACGGCGACAGAAGTGTAACAAATCTGCAGTGACACGATATTAAACATTTTATTACATTGCTGCCAGTGATAGTTTCAAATTTACATTTTAATAAAACTACTCAACGTGAGCCAAATTTATGTTCAGTGAATAATGTCGTAATAAAACACTTTCCGAAATGGTGCCAAGCTTGTGCCTAAAATTAAAGACACA